TTTTTGGAGGGTGTACACTGATTGTTTCTCCCGCCCCTAGGAGGAGGACCTGGTCGCCAGTTCCAGCGACTCGTCCAGCCAGCTGAGCGGCCTGATGGAGGCCCTGCGCGCCAAGGAGGCCGAGCTGGACGCGGAGCGCGGCGCGGCCGAGGCGCGGCTGCAGGAGGCGCACAAGGAGGCGCTGGGCGCGCGCCAGGCCGCGGAACGCCTCGAGGAGGCGCTGCGCCAGCGCGAGCAGGAGCTGGAGCACGAGCGGGAGGACGCGCGCGCCGCGGCCCAGGCGGCGCAGGCCAAGGAGGCCAAGGCCCTGGAGGACGTCGCGCAGCTCGACAAGCAGCGGCGGGAGGCCGAGCAGGCCCGCGAGCAGCTGCAGCAGAGGCTGCAGGACGCCGAGCGGGAGGCGGCCGCGCGGCACGAGCAGCTGCAGGTGAAGCTGCAGGAGGCGGCGGCGCTGCAGGAGCAGCTGCAGCAGCGGCTGCAGGACGGCAAGCAGGAGGGCGCGAAGCTGCATGAGCAGATCGCGGCGCTCAACGAGCGGCTGTCGGGCAGCGAGAAGGACGCCAAGGTGGCGGAGGCCACCCTGCGGGACCGCGTGCGAGAGCTGCAGGAGGAGCAGCAGCAGCTGCAGCTCGACATGGACCGGCAGCTGAAGGCCGCGGAGGAGCGGCTCCTGACGGAGCGGCAGCAGCTGCAGGGCGACGTGGAGCGGGTCGAGGGCGAGAGGGGTCAGCAGGCGCGCCGCGTGGAGGAGCTGGAGCTGTCCGTCCAGGAGCTTCAGGGCGCCAGGGACCAGCTGCAGGGTGAGAGGGAACAGCAAGTGAAGCGCGTCCAGGATCTGGAGCTGTCCGTCCAGGAGCTGCAGGGCGCCAGGGATCAGCTGCAGGGCGAGAAGGAACAGCAAGCGCGCCGCGTGGAGGAGCTGGAGCTGTCCGTGCAGGAGCTGCGAGGAAACCGAGAACAACTGCAGGGCGATCAAGAACAGCAAATGCGCCGCTTGGAGGAACTGCAGGTAACCAGAGTTTTGGACGTGTGGAATAGCCTGAGCTTATTACCAGTATCACCTGTAGGATTACGGTAAATTATATCGTAAAAATTATCGAAAAATAAATTAAAGTCAAAGGGATGGGTAAAACTTGTGATTACTACTGATAATTTACTGGTGATGTACCCACTTTACAATAGAGTTAATGAACTGCAGAGGTTTTGTAATTTTACCAATAATTTTTAAATCCTATAGGTGAAGAATAACCAGCTACAAGCTGACAAGGAGGAGACGCAGCGACTCTTGGAGCAGCTGACCGAGGCCAAGCTCAATTTGGAGGAAGGGGAACAACAGCTGAAGTCTGAGAAGGACCAGCTGCAAGGTGACAGGGAGCTGCAGCTTCAGCGAGTGGAAGAGTTGACAAAGACCAACGCTGACCTCCTGCAAGCCAAGGAGAAGCTGGAAGAAGTGGGGAAGCAGCAGGTGCAACAGCTAAAGAACTCGGAGACGACCGAGCAGCAGCTGAAAACACAAGTGGCGCAGCTGCAGGCTGAGAAGCAGGTGCAAGAGCATCGTGTCGAGGAGCTGGAGGCGGACCTGCGCAGCGCCAGGGGTGGCGCCGAGGAGCAGGTGGCTGCCCTGGCCGCCCAGGTGGACGAGACCCGCCGCCAGCTGCAGGAGGCCCAAACCACTGCAGAGCACGAGAAGCAGAGGTAAGTCATGCTCAAAGTGGCATTCTCACACTGCCGGACGCTTCGCTTCACCCCCGCTTTTGTCCGCCTGCAGGTTACTCGCGGACGTCGCGGACGTGCAAGCCCGCCTGGACAAGGCCGCGGAGGCCGCGAGCAAGGACGGCGCGGCGGCAGAGGCGGCCCTGGGCGAGCGCGACGCCGCCCTCGCGGAGCTGCGGGACAGCCTCGCTGCCCAGGAGGTGCAGGCCGGCGAGCTGAGGGCGCAGGTGCAGACGCTCACCTCGCAGCTGCAGCAGGGCGAGGCGCTGCTCAAGGAGAGCCAGGCGAGCGGCGACGCTCAGGTGCAAGCCCTCAACGCGCAGCTGTCGGACCTCGGCTCACAGGTGCAGGCCCTCACTGCGCAGCTGCAGCAGAGCGAGGCGAAGCTGAAGGAGAGCCAGGCCAGTCAAGGGTCACAGGTGGAGGCGCTGACCTCGCAGGTGCAAAGTCTCACCTTGCAGCTGCAGGAGAGCGAGGCACAGCTCAAGGAGAGCAGGGTCTCTCAGGGCACGCAGGTGACTGAACTGCACACACAGATTCAGACTCTCACCTCGCAGCTGGAGGTGGGTGGAGCTGAGCTGGTTCAACTGACGAAAACACACAAAGATTTGGAGGCGACTCACACGCAAGTTCAGCTCAGTTTGGAAGCCGCGTCACAAAAACTGAGTGGTGCTCTAAAACAGCTGACAGATGCTCAGTCTGAAGCGTGAGTGTTTTGGAAGAAAAGTGACTTATCAATTACCTGAAGTAAAAATTCTGAACATTTTCTTCTTCATATTTCAGTGACAGTGAGCGGACTCGAGCAGAAAATTTGTTAACCCTATTAGCAGCTGCAAATGATGCCAAGGAAGATGCTCAGAGAAGGTAATTGACCACAATTAATAAACTTTATTAAGTAATTTGTATTACGTTTTATATCTAGCAATTGTGTCCTTACTTTCCTGCAGACTGGAGACTCAACTAAAGCAACGTGAACAAGAACTACAGTGCACTAAAGAAAAGGTTTTCTTTTTGCTTAGTTGTTCTGATTTTTAACTCTCAATCTGTTGGCAAGATTTTAATTTATAAAATCTCGCCAACATTCTACTCTCAGTTTATATTCTCATGGTATATTTCTGTGTGTTGTTCCAGTCACAGTCCTTGCTGCAGACAATTAATAAGGAAAAAGAAATATTAGAAGAAAAGTTAACTTCAATGAAAACATCAGTTCTACAGTCTGAGACCAATGCAAACAATTCAGGTAAAGGCAGTTCTCTTTAGTATTTTTGAGTGCTTCTTGTATCTTTAAATGTTAAAGCATCCACGAATATTATTGCAGATCCTGCTCACCAAAGACTTGTGGAAGAAAAGGATGGTCTACAGGGACAGGTTGATTTCCTAAATTCTATTATTGTAGACATGCAGCGCAAGAACGATGAATTAAAAGCTCGGGTAGAGCTTTTAGAAACTGGCATTTCAATGGCGGATGTTGATGAGCTTGAGCTGTAAGTATATTTCTGTTACAAAAACAGTTACCTCATCAAGTTTGAAGTTATATTGAAATTGCATTGCTTTCAACAGAAACAACATCAAACCAAGAATGGTTGCTCCACGTCTCTTCTGTGATATTTGTGATGAGTTTGATCTACATGACACAGAGGATTGCCCTACTCAGTGCAATGATGTTGCACCAACAGCTGGTGCACGCAAGCTTCCTGGAGCTAATGCTAAAGTTCGGAAGTACTGTGACAACTGTGAATGTGAGTAATGCACATCTTATCTTATCTTGAATACCTATTGTAAAATTCAAAGTTGTATTACACTTTATTTCTATCGTTTCAGTATTTGATGATCATGATACAGAAGAATGTGATGATGGCGAAACTTTCTAGTGATTTATAAGGTCCTCTTAGCGGGCTGATACTTTGTTTAATTAGGTATCTGTTTGATATATCCTTGAATGTTAGACTACTTCAAACAGCAAGTCAGATTTCTTATGTTCTTTGTTTGTATCTGCAAGAAGGTGACAAATTTTATGGGAACTATTTTCTATCTACTATATTTTTCATCTTTTTGGATGCATAGTCTTCCAAATATATGTTCAGATCCTTCCAGACCATTTCTCTGAACGTTAGGTCCTGTTAAATATATGTTGTTACTCTTGCCACTGTTCTAGAGTTTTGGATATTGTGTATGAAACATTTGTTATATATGTGTACAGTATTTATTCCTGAGTAACGTTTTGAGTGCCGGCCACTGTTATTATTATTATTGACCACAATTTGTTTATGTTGATGAAATCCCGGGCAATGTCTTACTTGTGATCTATTATTTTAAGGATTGTCCCCTGTGATTGCCGCTTGGTCTAATCTTCCATGTTAAATTTGTTATTTTCTTATCAGACTAGGAACTGAGGAGTTCAGTCTTGGTGGACAGAAACCACTTTGTGCTGTGAGTTCAATTTTAAATTAAGTACCTTTGCCTCTATGTTCTAAATTGTGTTGTCCAATGATATGTCCGATTGATTAAAAGAATCAATTTTGTTACAAACCATGTAACACTACAGTGTGGCCCAGATGCATTTTCTTAATCCTTGATCTGATCAATAGGAGAAAGGAGTCTCTTTTGTGTGAATATTTTGCAGGAGCAAGGCTTTGTGGCTTATTGTTTTGGACAGGCTTCTATTACTTGCATTTGTGATTGAGCTTTTATGTGTATTCCTTAGCTACACCTGTCTTTAACAGGAAAAATTTTAATTACACCAATTTATATGAATACTTGCATTCTGAAATGTCTGATAAATCTCAGTTATGAACAGATATATGTATTTTTATAAAATTTGATTATCTGTGAAGCTGACTAGACAGACTCTTTTGTTTTACAAAATTTGGAAAGTACTATGAGACATTAATTTCTGAGCTCACTTTTTTGACATGATAGTAGATCTACTCATAACTGATTACTTGCAATTTCAATGAACTCTTGGTATCTTGGTAATGATCCTGTGATAGCAAGTCATGTAATTGTTCAATAAATTGACTTACTTTTTATTTTGTTTCTTGTTTCTTTACTTTGTATGCTTAGGCGGAGGAAGCGCCTTTTAATCCAATTTTATGAGCATGAGAGGATGCTGCTGGTATGTTCCTCAGTGTTTTCTGACAGCAACTTGGCTCTCTTAAAAACCTTGGGGGCAAAAAGTAATTATTTTTCAAAAACAAACAAACAGCACCTTTTATTTTGATTTTGTTGAATTAAGTTTAGTACAAATTAAGTAGGTCCGGACAGACTTGGAGGGGAAGGGGGGGGGGGCTCAAGTGGCTTGTCCGATAGGAAACACCCGGGCCCCGGGTTCAGTCTACACGTTTGAATCTGGTGGGAGGTGCTCGGTGGGTTGCATACCTACTAGGATGCTGCGGCTACGGCCACACGGCACGTTGTTGACGACAGACATCAGAATGTTCGTGCGCCTGTCGGCCTTCCAGCTTCTATTACACGAAGAGCAGACGGTAGAAACGGTGGACAACCGGAACTAACTGCTGCCCATCGCGGTGACAGTGGTATTGCGAATTGTGGAACCCTTGCACTAGCCTTATATTTCACCCGTGTTCTTGCCTTGCTTGGTACGGTCATACGCCTCCCACTCACTATCATCATGTCTGATTCGTTTATGATAAAGCTACCCATTGCATCATGCATTATCTATGTCAGTGTTCTGCTTCTCAGTGTTTTTGTTTCTTCCTCTTTTTCAATAATTGTTTTGCACCTTCCGCTTTTAATGAATGACGCAAAGGATGAGTCTCAGCACAGGTGAATGGACACACAATTTCTCTGTAATAGTATTTTTAAATTAAATAACACTTCAAAAATGAGTTTAGTAGGTTTCTAATTTGACAATTCTGTCTTTGCTTTGCCTTAGACTCAAGACTCAATTAAAACACCTAGAAGAAGAGCTACAAAATGCTAAAGAAGAGGTATTTTTGTTTGTATATGCAGTTACATTGTTTGTCGCTCTAATCACTCTTACTTTAAATTCTTCTTATTATGTACTTCTTATTGTGAACTCCTTTTGTGCTTCTCTAGTCACTATCCTTGCTGCTAACAACCAGCAAGGAAAAAGAACTGTTGGAGAAAAAATTGACATCAATGAAGCAATCAGTTTTGCAGGTTGAAGCTAATAATAACAATGATGATTTAGGTGAAGAGGTTTGGTTCTACCTGTGTTTTGAATGTCTATTGCTGCACTAGTAAAACATTTGACAGTGAATGAAAAATATTTCAGGGCCCGCTTATCAGAGACTTGTTGAAGAGAGGGATCACTTACACAAGCAGGTTGATGATCTTAAATCCATTATTGAAGGCATGCAGTGCAAGATTGATGAAATGGAAATGAGAGACGGTTCTCAAAGACAGGTTGACTTACTCAATTCTATCATTGTAGAAATGCAGCACAAGAATGATTTATTGAAAGCTCATGTCGAACTTCTAGAGACTAGATGTAAATGATCATGATCTGTAAGTATAAAGCTTTTTAATTCAGTTTAGTTGTAAACCAGTTAAAAATCAGTTTCCTGTTTTAACGATGTAATTATTTGGTCTCCCACATATACAGCATCAAATCAGAGTTGGTTGTGCTGGGTCTTTTCTGTGATGTCTGTGATAAGTTTGATCAACATACTTCTGAGGATTGTTCTACTTAGAGGCAATGTTGGACCACTAGCTGGTGAATACAATTTGAATACGCTTTAAACTTGATCTCAAAGATGCCTTGATAATTGTGAAATATATTCATAATTGTAATGAACTTCCATCTCAAATTATCTTGACAGAAACAACATTAAGAGATTATTTATAATTTACCATTGCCATTTTACAAGTAGAGGAAATGATTGTCCAGAAGAAATCTGAGACTGGCGGAACTCTTAAGATTTTTGGAAAGTAAACTATGCATGCCGTCGTGTAAGGACTTTTTCTGCCTATGTTATTTTTTAAGTGAAGTATATTTTTACACGATATTACTATTGGTCGGAGAAATTAACATTTTATCATTTTCACTAAATTATTTTAAGCATTAACCATTCTTTCGACATTAACTTTTAATTCAATGTATGTTTCTGTTGGTCCCGCTCTGCATTATATATTGTGCATGAAGTTTTTTTTATCAGTAATGTGTTCACTGCCTCTTCTATATTTATAGTATTAACCGAGAGAAGTTGTTTTTTGTCTCTATGCTTGTGAAATTCAAACTCCAATTTATTTATTTTTGGTCAAAGCTTTTAATAAAAATGTTTTTGTAAATTTCATTCGTTTACATATTTATTTATAGACAAAGAACCTATGTATTCTGTGATGTTGACTTTGGTAATGATCATGTGACAACAATCAATGTGTCTTCCTCCTTCAATAAGCTGGCATAAAATAAAATTTCCTCCATCTTTGTCATTTTTCCATGTTAGTAAAAGACCCTTTCAGGAGTATGTGTATGAAAGTTAGCGATTGATAAAGCAACATTCGTCTGTGAAGTACAACATTTATTAGGAATTTAAAAAAAAAAAAACGCTTGAGTGACCATGAGCAAAATCTTCAATTGCCACGTAAAAAATAAATTGCAGCGATCATCACAATGGTGACTTCGATAACGCGCTCCGTGAAGGTCCGGGGAGGCGGGGTGGGCACTGGGCACTCAGACTCAGGCTGATACCACCTGCTGTCGAACGACCCCCTGCCGCAGTATGGTAAAGTGAAGGAGAGCTGGGGAAAGTGGGTTGAGGCTGCCAAAGTGTTAGTAAACAAGGACTCACCTCGTTAATATTAAGGGATGATGATGATAATCATCATCGAGATAGAAATCGGGATCGGAATGGAAATGCCGGCGCCCTCTCGCGCGCCCTCCTCTCCCCCTTCTGCGGCCCATGGTATGAAGACTCCTCTGGCTCATCCTGGGACACACCAAAGACAACACGACGTTCAGTGCGCCTGCAGGGCAAGGTCACTACAGGGGCTTCGGTGTGACTGTCGGCGCGTCGATTTTCAGGATATCGGCTTTAAAATTCACGATCATCATGCAAACAGCACCTGTTGCTCACAGACCAGACTATCCCATGGGGTGCATAACCCCCACACTAACCTCACGCCACTTCATCACTTGCTACACGGATCAGACTTTGCTGTCCGTCCCAACTGACACTTTAAAGACTCGCCTCATCTGTTCGTAATTGTAATTGTAAAAAAAAAAATAACTGAATATTCACCTTGCTAATACTGACAACTTGTCTAAAATATGCTACACAACGATGCTAGGAACCGGAACCAGTACGTAATGTTCGCTGAATTATGTCATTCGACAGTGCAGTTCGACGTGAATGACCTCGAGTAAACCCCTAGTAACTGTCAATTTCAGTTTTCACTGATTTTAGTCTCAACTTTAAAACTGTTTCCGGTGATTTCCTTAATTCTTCTTTAAACGGGCACTGCCGGAACCATCTGTTGTGGCCACAATGCCGGCGGCCAGAGTCAGCTTAATCCGACCCTACTATAGAACATTTTTTTTTCTGGTGATATGAAACCCGAAGCCGTCAGGGTGTAAGCAGAAGGCAAGGACCTGCTCTGCACATAATCCCTGACATCGCGTCGGGGGCCTACGGGGCCCGGCGGGCTGGCCTACCTCCCAGGTGCCCTCACCTACAACTTGCCCCGGCGTGCCCCACGCAGTGCGAACGGTTCGGGGCGCACGTACCTCTTTGTAGCTACAACCGACACGGCCACTGGCAGCTTTATTAAAACCGACTGTAGAAATAAGTCCGCTTGGCCTCGTAAATGCTCACGCCCTCCCCCCCCCCCCACCCGGGCAAAAGTTTTTAAGAAATGGGGGAGTACTTTCCTCATCTCCGATCTCGTCGATATGCTGAAATTTAGGAAGAATGTTCTTCAAAGAGGAACAGGCTTCAAAAATAAAAATCAAAAATCAATCTTGAAAGCAGATGATAAAAAAATTAACAGTAGATCTGTTTTCTAATTTTCTAGTTTTCTAATTTTTTGGTCAGAACATACTCCCGGGGTTTGTTAGACGGGTGACGCGTACGTTGGTAAAACTGTACTGACCCGCCACAGGCCATGGAACTCCTTTACAGCCAGATTATAGGTCTTATTAGTGCACCCGCCACCACAGCAAGGTGCCAGAGACCAGGGAACTCCCACGCCCGCTTTCGCCGTGAGTCGAACCCCGGCCCAGAGCCGAGTCACATGCCACCTTCGACATGTGGTCGCAGCTCTATAGGAAACGTCAGGAATGATTTTTTTTTTTTTTTTTTCAGTTTTTAAAATGGTTTTATTGACGTCAAATTGTTACATTTGGATTTACATGGGTTGGTGTGCTGTTGCCCGTAGGCCTTACAGTATTTAATTATTTTTGACGAGTGAGAGGTGGGGTGTTAATTGATAAAGGGGCGATTGGATGGTGTTATGGTTGATGCTTTGATTTAGAGTCCTCTACCTTACCAAGGCCAGGGGGAGAAGTTTAAGAAATGTGCACCATAGCCCGGGTACACGTTTGGAGCCGAATCGTGGGGGTGTCATCGGCGTGCTCGAGAGGTCCCCGATGACGTCCCCGGGAGCCCGGAAGACCTCGGCTCGGCTCTACCAGATTTGGACTCGGCGTGTCTGATAACCCTCGCATTCCGACTTTGAGCTGAATGGAGTTCTTATTGGGTTGGCATCGGCGTGCTCGGAAGGTCCCCGATGACGTCCCCAGCGGCCCGGACGACCTCGGCACTTCGGACTCAGCGTGCCAGAAAATCCCCCTATCACGAAAATTGAGTCGGTCGGTCGGTCGGTCGGTCGGTCGGTCGGTCGGTCGGTCGGTCGGCCGGTCAAACCGTATTCTATTTTGACAGCCCCTTGGACCAGGGGCGTGGGATCGCCCAGAAAGTACGCCCCTCATTCGCCGTTATGAATATTTTAAGTTCAGCGTCTGCAAGCTCTCAAAACGCCCGGTAGGTGGGCAACATCTTGCCTGCAGGGCACGCATGTTCAGCGGGGTTTCATACCCCGAGTCTCGCAGGCGCCGAGCTCCCGTTATTTGAGCAAAACGTACGTACTTTCTCGGCGATCCCAGCGCCGAGCGCAAAATCGTATCCCAGATTCTTTTCAATTTGCTACGAAAACTGTAGCGGCGCGAATGTTCGAGGGGGAGGGGGAGAGTTCATCTAACCGACACGTTTGCACAAATTGTTGTTGTTCGGATGTGGCGGAGTTGTGACTCTGAGGGTCCATAACTCTGTACTGTACCGCCTCGCGCTCGCCCCCCGCGCTCGTTAGGACGCGGGCGCGAGGTGCAGGCATCACAAGAGCGGCCACCAGCCGGTCCTCACCGGCACCAGCATGGCCCAGCCCGATAGGCCGTACCACGAACGAGAAAAACAACGTTTGATTTTTATGGAAAAGTTTGACGGACTTCCTTAGTTTGAGGAAAACTCCTCGCACTTTGAGGAAAACTCCCCAGGAAATGGGGGGAATTCCCTTTTATTTTGTAACTGGATTCCCCCCCCCCCCTTACAAAAAAATGGCCTGCCGGTCGGTAACGAGACAGTCCAGCTCCAAAAGCAAATTCATAATATCTTGAAATTCAATAAGGCATCAAAATAGGACTGAAAATCTGCTCATTAAAACTGGAACGTTAACCGGCAATATCGGCAACGGCAACCTTTATCAAAACGAGATGCTTTCACGTTACCCACCCTTAGGAGCGCTTTTTCATGTTTCAGAAAGCTGTGGTTAAAATCATAAACAACGAAAATCAGCAAGTTATGCTAGAATCACCATTCAAATTTCGCTGAATTCGTAATTTCTGCGTGCGCGAAAACAAGCACATTTCATATTTTAGAGCGCTGTGTGGTTCAAATTTGAAATTCGAGACTGGGGATCACTTGTCAGGAAGTGGCGCCCGGTGCGGGTTGAGCTCTAAGAGGGCAGGGGTTGGGGCGCGGGGCGCGGGGAGCAGCGCTGGGAGACTCAAGAGGCTCGGGTGGGGGACCCCTCAGAGTAGGCCGGCCCGCCGAGCAGCCGTGTGCAGACGGCGGCCCGCCCGGAGCGCCCGACATCCTCGGGATACTTTTGTCCTGTTGGGGCACCATAAAGGCGGGGGTCATTGACGATGGACAACGGCACTGATTTGCACTGATAGAAGTAGGAATGTTTATATTGTGCACGGTTTTAAAAGTGCATGCAATTCAAGGAGCCTGTTGAACAAACAGTTTTGCATGACCAAAATGACGGAATGGAACGTTTTTCGCGCGTACATTAGCGGACATGCATAAACGTCCTATAGAGCCGTACTATTACTCAGACGTACAATGACTCGTTATGGCTAGACGTTTCACTCGGACTCGGCCAGCAGAGGTAGTGGGGAGAGGTGGGGGGAATCTCGTAGAGTTTAGGTACCCAAAAGGGAGGGCGCTCTCTGAAGAAAAAAAGAGGATGACTGAAGATATTGCAAAGTGACGCTGGCGCAACTTTGGCGGGCTCAACACAAGTGTGGCCGAGTTGGAGTTTAACATCGCCAAAGACCTCGCCCCATCCCCGCAGGAGGGGCAGGCAGAAAACGGAAGAAAACGACAGAGAGAGAGAGAGAGAGAGAGGCCTGAAAGGCGGGCGAAATGTTGTTGAAAGACTTCATAAAACGACACTTTGGGGGCCGCGGGGCCGGGCCGGCCGGGCAATCAGATCGGTCCGAGATGAGCCCAGGATGGTCCCAGCCACCTTGGGCGGCGCGGCAGCGAGAGAGAGAGAGAGAGAGAGAGAGAGAGAGAGAGAGAGAGAGAGAG